ATCCTGTTTAAGAAAAGTGAGCGGCCTCGGGGAGGCGGGGCGGGGGGGGCGAGGGGAAGCTCGAAACCGCTGTGTGGCGTTTCGCTCCTCTAAACAAAAATCCCTTCCCCGTGGGAGCCCCTTTGATTTTGGCCTCTTGTTTGGCATATTTTGCAGAGAAATAAATAACTAAGTGGGGTGTCTTTCTGCTCCCGATTCTCCCACTCAGCTGTTGGGCATGGGAAGTGGGCCACCGCAACCTGTTGTTTGCCTGATGTCTGCCTGCATCAGTGCAGCGATTTGCTCCGCCTGTAAGGCAGTCCTTGAGGGTTGTTAAGCTCTTGAAATGCATGAGCTCCTGAAGTGACTTTCTGCACGCTTGGACCTCTCGGGCACACTACAGCAGCTCTATCCTGTGTGTGCGGTGGGAGCAATAAGGGTCACATGCAGCCACTGGTGGACGGATCTGGGGAGCCGCCTCCAAAGGGGGGGATATCAGAAGCAGGCAGCAGAGTGGTGCTTTGTCCTGCAGGACTGCCTCTTGGCCAAGTTTTGCCGTCTCGTATCACAGAAGGAGCAGGCTGCGTAGGCAGGGTCACTGTGGTCCAAGGCTGTGGTGCCCATTCAGTGCAAAACTGTAAACTGTGTATTTGTAGATGATTTTAAGGACCAGGATGGAGGGCTATTGGCTGGTTTTGTTCCAAGGGCAGGAAGAAGCAGATTTCACTCACCTTTAATATTGTTGTCCAAATAAAAAGCAAGTGTTGTGGGTGTCCGTAACGAAGCAGTTATTTGGCTTGAGCTATTTGTCAGTTTTTGGTCACAGTGCTCCAAAGTCACGTATTTTCAAGTGCTATAGAAATTCACGAATCCGGAAAAAAACCCCGGCCCTAAGTGGGCAATGTTTACAAAGTAACCTGATGTATAGCACAGGGGAAAATTGCACTTGTAAAGGCAGTAATGTCTCTCCTACTTTTTGTCTCCAAACCTATTTTTCACTCTAGTTGAAGATGTAATAAAATACCTCGACCCTCAGTACATTGATAGGATGGCTGTTCCAGACGCCATGAAGCTGCAGTTCATCTTGGCAGGTATGATACAAAATGAGAGGAAACAAGGGGGTTTTTTAGCACTGCAAAAGTTGTCTTTTACCTAAGCTGAATTGGGATGGATTTCTTTTCTTTAGTTGTAAAGATCTGGCAAGGCACCTTCTTTGGAGCTATCAGAGAGATGGTTTGTACAAGGATGTCTGTCACCGTCAGTGCTCCCTTGTGCATGCCCATGCTGCAGTTGTATCAGTTCTGATCTTTTTAGTATTGATCAGTTTAACCCTGAATTAATAAAAGGTTGAAAAGAAAAACTGGAGCTAGAACAGTTTTCCTCACCCCACTTCCAATACTTTCTAGGCTGTGACAAAAATGGAAGACCTTTGGATGTATTTTAACCACTTTCTGCTCTTGTCCTCTTTTGCCCCAAGAAATTTGGTTCAGCCTTGTTTTGGTATAGTCTGCAAATGAAACTTGGTGGAGATTTTCCTGCCTTAAGTTAGTGTGAACCAGAATCCAGGGGTGAGCAACACAAAAGTCTAAATAAAATCATAAACAAGCCCCTTTCTGTATAGCTAGATCAGCTGGAAAAGTTACCTCACCAGTATTTGTGAAAAGCCAAAGCAGTGTCTTGTATTTACTGATGTTGCTTTTTGTCTCTCCCCAATCAGAGGAGCAGGTTATTCCTTCCCGAGCAGCCCTTCTGGAGCAGGTGAAGAACCTCCAGCCCATCTTGGACAGTGCCAGTATCCAAGGTATGCATGTTCTTCTGCAAGTTTGAGCTGCAAATGCCACCCCCCAAGCTGCTGCCTATCCTGTTTTTTTTTTTTTCTTGAGCCTCAGACTTGAGGACAGCTAAGCACACAACCTGGTGTGAGTAAAGTAGGTACAAACAAAGTATGTCTGCTCCTCCCTCATGCTGCTCTTAACATCCCACGCAAGGTCAAGGAGTTGATAGAGTAGGCTGGGAAGCAGGTTAGAGGCAGCAGCTTGGCAGGGAGGGTAGGTACTGGTGGCTGAGCTCTGTGTATGGTCACCAGGCTGTGGAGCTACTCCTGCCTGCAAGCTCTTTTATGTCCAGAACATCCCTGCTCTTGGCGTAGGTGGAGATGCCTTTTTAATTGCTTGCCCTAACGTTCATCCAAGTAGTTTACTCTGATGTAGTTCTCGCTGCAGGCATCCCCTAACTCATGCCATCCAGAAGCAGTTAGCAAATAAACTTGGTATTTAATGTACAGGGTAGCTAGGGGTTTTGTATAGTGTAAAAGGTGTGTTTGTGGCGTGTGGCGCTTGCATTCAGCGAGCGGAGTTCTGCTGTGATGTGCTCGTGGAGAAGGAATGGTCTTTATTTTTGTAACTAATCCCATGTGCTGTAAAACAAACAAAATGGATTTCTCTTCTGTGCTTTCAGCGGTTCCTGACCATGCAGCCAAACTACAGCGACTCTCTCAAATCCACATACAGCAGCAGGTAGCGTGAATAGTCTTGACAGCCTTAACTAGCAGGGAGGAGGAACTGTCTGTTAGCGGCTGTACTGACAGCCCTGTATTTGCAATTGCTTGAATTGCTCATTTATAAGCAGGTTTAGTTTTGCATCTCGTCCAGGATATTCATGCTGCAGTTTTCCAGAAGTGTAAGCACTTGGGGGGCAGGGTGTGAGGTGTGGAAACCAGCCAGGATTTCTGACAATTGCGTCTGAATGGGAAAAGCGCTTTGCCTGCCATAAGCCTGTTCGAAATAGAGGTTTGAGTGACACTTAATAAGCGGCAGTGGGTTTAACCAGCTGGCATTACTTTTTTTTTTTGCACTCTCTGGAAGGCTGTTGATACTGTCACCTTGTCTCTTCCACCTTTTCTTCCCCCTTTGAGCGCTCCTGGAGCTGGGGATGAGTAGCCTGGGCAGCACCTAATGCCCCCTTTCAGCATTTTGCTGTGAGTTTCCATTCTGGAGCAAGCAAAGCATGGATGCTGAGGAGAGGCAGGCAGTAGTGCAAGCCGAGGGGCTTTGGTGCTTCATGCGCTTGGGTGTTTGTAACCTTTCTCTTGACTGTTGAAACACTTACAGCCACAATGAGTGGCCACAGCCAGGGTCTGAGCTCTAATCTCAGTACTGGCCTTGGATGAGGTTCCCCCTGTGCTGTCAGGGACTGAGAAGACAGATGTCCTTCAGCTGATTTATTGCTTGCTCACTGCGGCTCCCCTTTTTGCAGGAACAGCGTCAAGATCTCACCGACAGCGTCAAGATGCTTCTCGAAGACTACAACAAAATGGTATCCTTTGAGCTTTGGGCCTGATGCAGCTGAACTGCCCGCTTGTCTCCTGGGCTGCCTCACCCCACCAGCTATTGTTGGAAGCAGGTGATCCCCAGCCCTGGGTTTAATGGCCAGTGCCCTTTCTGTCGTGGTGACACCTGTGTCCCCTGTCATACTCCTCTCAGGAGTGGAGCCGAGGGCCAGAACTCCCCATCTCTCTGAGATGGGAAGGGCAGAGTGCCACCTGTGAGCTGGAGCCTCTGCGCTGGATCCGCTCACAGTGTGGCTCGGCACGAAGGAGCAGCGCAGCCTGCGTGCTGGTGCAGAGCTTGCACCGGCCGGCTGGATGTTGGCATCTCTGTCAGGTGACTGCTGGTCCCTGCGACCTGCCTGAGCCAAACAGCGGCTAATCCTGGCCATGTAGGATCCCAGCATTGAGACGCGTCCTAAAGCCACAGCAGGTAGGGAAGCTCTGCTCTTTTCTGTAGAAAGCCCCTTGAAATGCAGTGCTACGCAGTGTTCAGAAGCGCCTCCTGGACTCCCATCGGTGTTTGGTGCTGTGCAGTGGCTCAGCACCTGGATGGTTTGAGTCCGCGCAGGCTTTCTACAGCCTGGTGCCCTGGGCCTCTTCCTCTGCCAAGGAATTGGGATTGTAACGGTGCTGTTGGGCTATCAGGGTGCTCTGACCTTGCTTTCTTCCCTGCAGTTTCCACATCTCTTTCCTTAAGAGTCACATCCAGACCCTGCTGCTCTCCAAGCAGTTTGTCCAGTGGAATGAAATACTGACGCAGCTGGAAATGGCCAAGGAAGCGAAACCTGCGGCAGAGTGATGGCAGAGCCCGGGAGCATGGAGAGCCCCGGGGACCCTGCTGGCCTTGGGTCGCTCAGGAGAGGCTGCAGCACAGCTTGCACTCTGTCATCTTGGCATCTTCCCACTCAGCGTGAGCATGCTGCGACTAGTGCCGCAGGCTCTCGGGGGGCACCCTGGCTCCGCGGCTGCACTGTGTCAGCCCCAAATTGAAGCCACACTACTCCTTAATATGCCACTGTTTGCAGATCTTGCACTTCCCTGAAATAAGTTTTGGTTTCTAACATATTTAAAAATCCCTTTCTGCTCTTACTGTGAACCGTAGTAAAGTCCTGAAATGCTGACTGGGTTGTCTCTTCCTCCCCTGGGCGCAGCTGTGGCGCACACTGTCCCTCCCCATGGGGTTTCCCCCAGGCAGCGAACTCCGGAAGCCTCGTGGCAGCCTGCAGGAGGTTTCCGGTGGCTTCATCCTTGGGCCAAGGGCAGGTAACTCACCGCCAGTCCCACAGCCTTCCCCGGGCTGCGGCACACGCTCTTCCTGCTGTTTCTTCCTGTTCACGTGAGCTGTCTGCACGCAGGGGAATCTGGCCTGGTGGGGCTTTTCCCCCAGGCCATTCTCCCATCCCTGCGCTGGGAGGAGGCAGCGGCTCTTGCCTTCATCCTACCTCTGCTCACCCAAGTGGCTGCTGCAAGCCGGAGCCTGTGGCTGGCCCTCTCCCCCTCAGAGAGGGGCATGAGCTGCGCCTCGCCTGGTCTGGCCATAGCCTGGAGTTTCTCCTGGCGCAAAGGTGTTCCCGAGTTTGAGGTCATGCTTTTGGGAGGGTCCCAAGCCCTCCTGCTTGGCGAGACGGACCAGCTGCGTGTGACCTGGGAAGCCCCCAGGAAGGGGGCAGGATCCCAGCAGGGAAGTCCGGAGGAGCCTGGCTATCCCTGTACTCTCACCTGGTCAGCGAGCTCACCCCCGGGCACCCCGCGGCGGGGCTGCAAGCCTGCAGAAAGCCCCCTGCTCCCTGCGGGTGCCTGGGAAGCTCTGCTGGCCCTGGGACCGGGCTGGGGCATGACGTTCCTCCTGGTCGGATAACGGGGAGTGCTTTGAGGCCGCTTCAGCAACGCCATGAGAACCACGTTCTTCGCAGCGCGTGTGCGTGGGTGCGCACGGCGACACCCGCTGCGCAAGGGCGAGCGGGGTGGTGCCCATCCCGGCAGCGCAAGGGGCACGGTCCCGCAGAGCTG